TTTTAACGTTTGGCAAACTCCTATCAAACGCTTCAAAAGCGTGCATAGGGCGTTTGGGGAGTGTTTGAGGAACGTTAAAAATTGCTCCCCAAATGCCTGTCTAATGCCTGGCTGCTCTGAAGATTTCCCTGGACAAGGATAAAGGGTTAAGCACTACGCTGTCCATTGAAAGCTTGCTACACGTGGCAGTATCTGCTAGGTGTGCTGATGTACTCACCCTGTCCTCCTTGCTCCCACTGCTCCCAGGCCTTGATCCTGTTCATACCGTAATACTAAATGGATCCTCCAGAGCCAGCCCGAGCCCAGCCTGAGGCCAGCCCCCATTAGACCTTGGGGACCCCTCCCAGGCTACTGACAGCCTCGTCAGCACTCCATCTTCCCCTGCTAGCCTGACTCTCCCATATTTATGGGATGGCCTCACCACTCTATCAGGGCCTCCAAACCTGGGATCGGTTACACTCCCATAAACATGCAGATTTAGGTCTCCACTCCTTCCACCCACTGGCTTCTGGAAGCTTCCATGGTCCTCCAGAACCAAGTGGAGGCGACGGAGTCCCAACCTGTTACGTAAACCAACCTAATTACAGACTCACACAGGTACCATGAGTCATACACAATTATTTTCCTACATTAACCTAGTAGCATATCAGAGGGGGCTACATATGTGTACAAAATGGTTATGGATTCTGCATGCCAGTCCAAAGCATGTGCATATGGGGCTGACTAAGGAAAGACATGACAACCTTGTTTAAAACGTGCTGAGAATATTCCATGGAAAAGGCCCTTATGTGTATCAGACAGGGTGCCCAGGAAGCTGGTGCATAGAATTAAATATATTAAACTGATATCAGGAATGATTTGTAACAACTGCTGGTTAGCCTTAAAGCCCACTGTGATGGACCGCCTGTCATTTGGGTGACTGTGATTGGGTGATTCCTTTAGAGAACTGCTTCCTTGCCGCTGGGACACAGGACCAAGGTATTATAGATGGGCATCACACCCAAGACTAGACGACACTAGCTTAGGTGCAACTGGAACTAGTTTATTGAACAGAAATACAGGATTTTATACACTCAGAAATAGGGGCAGTCCCCATATGAATAATAAAAACAAATATTACACATTGGGATAAACATCCCACGCTGATTAGATAAGAGATTGATCACATTATCCTAAACCAGGGGTCTGCAACCTTTAAGACATAAAGAGCCACTTGGACCCGTTTCCGAGAGGGAAAAAAAGACTGGGAGCCGCAAAACCATTGCAACATTTAAAACAAATCCGACACTGCATATATTGCAAAAAGCGCTCTGGTCATGAAGGGGGTTTAAGGGCCCAGTAAGCAAAGGGTTAATCAGGGCCACAGTGTATCGTCATAATCACAATCATAGCCTTAGGTCAGTGGTGGGCAACCTTTTTTTTCAACTGAGCCAAATCTCGCCAAAACCACGATTGAAATTTATTTTGAGAGCCACATTTTTAAAACTGAAAATACATCCCCCATATAGTAATTCATCCCCATATAGTAATTCATCCCCCATATAGTAATTCATCCCCCATAGTAATTCATCCCCCATATAGTAATTCATCCCCCATATAGTAATTCATCCCCCATAGTAATTCATCCCCCCTATAGTAATTCATCCCCCATAGTAATTCATCCCCCATAGTAATTCATCCCCATATAGTAATTCATCCCCCATATAGTAATTCATCCCCCATATAGTAATTCATCCCCCATAGTAATTCATCCCCCATAGTAATTCATCCCCCATAGTAATTCATCCCCCATATAGTAATTCATCCCCCATAGTAATTCATCCCCCATAGTAATTCATCCCCCATAGTAATTCATCCCCCTATAGTAATTCATCCCCCCTATAGTAATTCATCCCCCCTATAGTAATTCATTCCCCATATTGTGTCAATTCACTTACCTTTGCTCCGCGCGTTCCTCTCGCCGTGTTCCCGCGCCGTTCCGGTTTTCAGGGCGGACTGTGAGAGGAGAGGAGTTCGTCAAGCTGCCCCGCCTACATCCTGACAGCCAATGTTTGCCACGCTCGCGGGGCCGGATTAAAAGGTCCGCCGGGCCGTAGTTTGCCTATTGCTGGGCTAGCTGCAGAGTCCTGACTTTTGGGGCGGGCCGCCCGAGAGGAGGGAGGGGAGCGGGCGCCCGGCACACAGAAGAGCCGCATTAAAATGTGTAAAGAGCCACGGCTTGCCGACCACTGAGCTACGGCAACCCTATTGCCTGTCACCTGGTGGGCAGTGTGCTCCCGGAGCCGCAGCAAAGGTGAAAAAGAGCCGCATGCGGCTCTGGAGCCGCGGGTTTGCCGACACCCGTCCTAAACCATGCAAATGGTAAACAGCACAGCCAACAGCTAACAGTAATCTTATCAACAGCCAGGCACCCAGACACGCCAGGGAGCCCACCCCAGACAAGCCAGGGAACCCACCCCAGGCAGCCTGGCACCTCCAACCCTGAATACACCAAGTCCATTACACATACTGTCTTTCAGGTGTTTGCTATAATCTGTCCATCATAAGACAAAACTCATATAATACCTCAACAGTTCAAGAAAGTGGAATTAATGTACCTTCATAGATTTCTTGAGGGAAATTGTGGACAATATTTATGTCCCAAGTTGAGGAGCTCCTCCCACCCAGTCTGCAGGAGGGCCCCATGTTTCCTCTGTCCATTAACCTTTATAAGATTAATATTTCACCTTTCCAACCACTCCAGAAAGGAAGCTGTAATCCCTCCAAAAGCCCCTGTCCTGGTTGGGTCTGTCACTCCTACCATCCTCTTTTTTTTTTTTATAAAGGTCCCCCAAGAGGTTATAAAAACTGACAGCTTGGGCTGTAATACTCAGCTCCTCTCCAAAGCTGTCCCCTGTAGTAATCCCCTTTTGCCACAAGATGTCTTCAGTCAACCCAAAAGACTGAGGACATAATGTGAGGTCAGGGGGGCACGTCACATGACCGGCCTGAAGACATCTAGAAAAAAGATAAGTATTAAAATAAAGCACATATTACTGCTGGAGGGATCCTTTTGGGGGTCATGGAGTGTGATTGATGGGTGGAGGTCGGAGTTGGGCTTTAAGCTTTCTGTTTGGGAATGATGGTGCATTTGGGATTCGGAATGAAAATCGCATAGCCAACCCCTTCCTACAGTCAGTATCCTGAACACAAAAAACGACTGACCTTCCGGTTCAGCACTTATGAATGCGGGGTTTAGAGAAAGTACATTTTCCTGAAGGAAATATATATTGGGGGTTATTTACTAACCCTAGGTTCACACTTGTGATGTGGATTTCAGTGCGTTTTCCAGTTTGCAGAAACGCACTACAGTCCATTTACCATGATTTCCTATGGATCTAGTTCACATCTGTGTGTTTTTTTCAAAGGGTCATGGACTTTTTTCCCACAATAAATTGCATTTTTTGTGCAATAGACTTAAATGGAACTGCGTTTTTGATGCATTTTTGATACATTTTTGATGCATTTTGTGTTTTTGGTTGGTGGGACTTTGATGCAACTTTGGATGGGTGGGACTTTGATGCAACTTTGGATGGGTGGGACTTTGATGCAACTTTGGATGGGTGGGACTTTGATCAACTTTGTATGGGTGGGACTTTGATGCAGCTTTGGATGGGTGGGACTTTGATGCAACTTTGGATGGGTGGGACTTTGGGACTTGGGACTTTGATGCAACTTTGGATGGGTGGGACTTTGATGCAGCTTTGTATGGGTGGGACTTTCATGCAGCTTTGGATGGGTGGGACTTTGATGCAGCTTTTTTTTTTGCTAATAAAAAAGTAGGACAGTTCTGTTCATGTAGTGTGACTTTGACGTGACTTTACACTCTATGGCACTCAAATAGCATCAAAGTCACATCTAAATCTCACCCAACGAAAGTCGCAACAAACTTAGTACTTTCCTATTATCAAAAAAGCCCCCAAAAATGCAAAACTCCCATGCACAGCTGCACCAGATTCTGAGTGCTCCAGTTTTAGTAAATCTCCCCCATACTATATATATTTTTGTAACCTCCCTGGCGGTATTCCCGAGTGTAGCTCAGGGTAAAGTTTCAGTACCACAAGTGGTAACCCCGAACTACACTCAGGAATACTCTGCAGTGTTGCTCCGGGATCTGTTCTTCTCTTACCTTGTCCTGCGCTCCCGCGATGTCCCTCCTGCAGTGTCCCCGGCAATGTCCTCCAGCAGATGCCGACATCTGTAATCTGGGTTCGTCCCCTGCGATGTCGGGACGTACGGGGACAGAACGGCGGGAAATTTGAAAATGACAAAAAGTGACATTCACTAAATACACTAAAATCACATAGTAAACCATTCCTGTATCAAACCATTTCACATACATTTTGTGCCGAGTGCTTTGTCCTGAGCCCTGCCTGCATTTTTACTGTTCTTTCTGCCTGGAAACTGAGAAACATCCATGGCGTCCAAAAAGCGTCCCTTTAGGTCAAAATCGGTTTTAGACCGGCTAGAGAACAGCGATAGTAAATCAGAACCACTTGCAGAATTGAGTGATAATGATTCGTGGGGAAATTTGTCATCAGACACTGAAAACGATTTTGTGACTTTGCTCAGTGATGTGCGAACTTGGCGCTATATTTCAAATTTCAGTGTTTTTGGTTTGATTATATTATTGAATTAAATTTATTATTATTATTATATTATTTTTTTTTTTATGATTATTTATTAAATTATAATTTATGATTTCGTGTTTCAAATTTTAACATCCCCGGGATGTTTACTACACTCTTGTTCGGACAGATTTCACTGAGTTATTCCTAAAAATTACAGGCCTACAATAAAAAAAATGCATATTTCCATGCAAAAAAAATGTACCGCTTTGAGCACAGAAATACTGACATAATCAGACCGCTAGGGAGGTTAATGTTCATTCATTATCTGTTATGAAGAGTATAATAGGATGTAATTATTATTCTGCTCATATTTTTAATTTTTTTTTATAGATAACTGCATATAACAGGAGGACATTTGAGATTTGCCCATGCAAAGATACAAACTTTCTTCTGCTTAAAATGGTATTAAACCCAAAGGCAAACATTTATTTTATTGCAGCCTACCAATTCTTAGGTGTGGTGGCTGCATTTGTTTTCTTTTTTTAAGGTTTTTTTTCCTTTATTTTTACCTTTACCTGGCGATCTGGCCAGCAAGTGTGTTTGTTTTCAAAAGAACAAGAGCTCTCCTGCAGATGTGACAGTTAGAAGGATGAGACAACCATTTAACACTGGCAGGAGTGCTAAAAATGTATTTATTTACAGTATACAAATCCTTTATCCAAAATGGAAAAAAAACTGGTTGCTGTAACTGCTTATATAGTATTAGCTGGAGTTTGGCTTCAATTTGTTACTGTATCTAAATCTGCTAGTGCATCCCCTCCCACCAGACTGACAATGCTGCTGTCCAAAGTTGTCTTTGTTACTCCTTCATCCAGAACGGGGGCGCTCTAATGCAGGCCATAGACGGGTCGAAAAGTGGCCGTGTTTTTTTTTTAAAAAAAAAAAAGAAAAATCGGTCGTTCAATAGGCCGACGTTACCACCAACGGTAAAAAAAATTGGCCGATTTTCGTCCCGTGTACGGCTGGCATTTAATTACTTTTGTCCCTGCAGAGAGCTCCGCTATTATATTTGACATGAAAAAGTATTGCGGTTGCAACATTGTATCTATTTGTATCCATTTTGAATACAGATGTTTTTATTCGGATACAAATACAGTCATGGCCGAAAGTTGGCATTGAAATTTTCCAGGAAATCAGTATTTCTCAAAACGTATGTGCATTAACACATGTTTTGCTATAAATGTTTATTCCCTTTGTGTGTATGGGAAAAAATCAAAAACAGGGAGGAAAGAAAGCAAATTAGACATAATGTCACACAAATGTCCAAAAATGGGTGGACAAAAGTATTGGCACCCTTTCACAACTGCGGATAAATAAGAATGTTACAAGCATGTGATGCTCCTGTAAACTCACCTGGGGCAAGTAACAGGTGTGGGCAATATAGAAATCACACCTGAAAGCAATAAAAAGGAGAGACGTTCACTTAACCTTTGCATTGTGTGTCAAAGTCTGAGCCACCTAAGCCATGGACAACAGAAAGAGGAGACGAGAACTGTCTGAGGTCTGAGAACCAAAATTGTGGCAAAATATCAACAATCTCAAGGTTTACAAGTCCATCTCCAGAGAACTAGATTTGCCTTTGTCCACAGTGCGCAACATTATCAAGAAGTTTGCAACCCATGGCACTGTAGCTAATCTCCCTTGTCGTGGACGGATGAGGAAAATTGATGAAAGATTGCAACGCAGAATAGTCCGGATGGTGGATAAGCAGCCCCAAACATGTTCCAAAGACATTCAAGCTGTCCTGCAGGCTCAGGGAGCATCAGTGTCAGCGCGAACTATCCGTCGACATTTAAATGAAATGAAACGCTATGGCAGGAGACCCAGGAGGACCCCACTGCTGACACAGAGACATAAAAACAAGCAAGACTACAGTTTGCCAAAATGTACTTGAGTAAGCCAAAAGCCTTCTGGGAAAACGTCTTGTGGACAGATGAGACCAAGATAGAGCTTTTCGGTAAAGCACATCATTCTACTGTTTACCGAAAACCAAGAAAAATGAGGCCTACAAAGAACAAAACACAGTACCTACGGTAAAATATGGTGGAGGTTCAAAACCCATGTTTTGGGGTTGTTTTGCTGCCTCTGGCACTGGGTGCCTGACTGTGTGCAAGGCATCATGAAATCTGAGGATTACCAAAGGATTTTGGGTCGCACTGTAGGGCCCAGTGTCAGAAAGCTGGGTTTGCGTCCAAGATCCTGGTCTTCCAGCAGGACAATGACCCCAAATCATACGAAAAAAGCACTCAGAAATGGATGGCAAAGAAGCGCTGGAGAGTTCTGAAGTGGCCAGCAATGAGCCCAGATCTAAATCCCATTGAACACCTGTGGAGAGATCTTAAAATTGCTGTTGGGAAAAGGCTCTTTTTTTTTTGTCCTTCCAATAAGAGAGACCTGGAGCTGTTTGCAAAGGAAGAGTGGTCCGATAAAAATTCCGGGTGAGAGGTGTCAGAAGCTTATTGATGGTTATAGGAAGCGACTGATTTCAGTTATGTTTTCCAAAGGGTGTGCAACCAAAATTAAGTTAAGGGTGCCAAACTTGTGTCCAGCCCATTTTTGGGGTTTTGTGTGACATCAATGTCATATTTGCTTTTCTGCCTCTGTTTTATATTTGTTCCAATACATACAAAGGGAATAAACATGTGTATAGCAAAAAATGTGTTAATTGCAATACCTTTTTTGTGTGAAATACTTGATTTTCAGGCAAAAATATCAAGGGTGCCAACAATTTCGGCCATGACTGTAGATACATTGTTGCAACTGCAATACTTTTTCATGTCAAATATAATAGCGGACTGGAATTCCTCTTCTTTTTCTTTTTCTTCTTCTTTTCTTCTTCTTTTTCTTTTTACTTTTTTTCTTCTTTCTTTTTCTTCTTGCAGGTCACGGCTCATGTGCAGATTTTTTATCGGTAAAACGATCAGCCGATTTGCCCATCATTGCCGGGAAAATCAGCCGATCTGCAAAATTGGCCAATTTTTTTCCAACTTCACGGATAAAAAAAATGTGCCAAAACACAAAAAACGGCCAATCAATTAACCCATTAACAGTGCGAAAATTGGACGATTTTTTTTTTTATCACTACTAAACTCCAGACCAATTACTTAGCACTAAAATTAATACTTGGTTCTGTATTTTATAAAAGGGGTGGTACCGGAGAGGACTGACCATTTGGAAACTTGGGCACTGTCCGAGGGCCCGGGGTCAGTAGGGGGCCCCATGAGATACCCCTGGTACCTTTTTTTGTAGGCTTTTTTGAGTTTGGGCAAGGACACATGGGCCCCATGATCCCCTATTGCCCGGGGGCCCCATGAGTTGTCAGTCAGACCCTGGGTGGTACTGGAAGGTGGGTAGGGGGTGGAACTAAAGGAGGCGGAGACAAGGGTGACTCAGAAGGGGGGGGAGTACCTGCACCTATTCTCTGAGAAAATAAGCTGTATATATACAGAGAAAGATATACAGTAGATATAGAAGAATATATATATATATATATACATATACACAGTGCTCAGCATAAATGAGTACACCCCAACAGATTTGTTAGAAATCCTTTACTTTCCTTTTAGACTCAACATTTTCTATGGGACACTATACTACAAAATACTCCCACAAATGTGGGCCATTGATTGCAAGCACATTTGTTAATTTGCACACACCAAAAAGTATTTTTCCTAACAAATGCATTCAAGACTATGTTGCAAAAATTAACACACCCCAATGAAAGTCTTAGGAGCAAAGCTAAATTTTACACAACAAAATCCTAATTAACAAGAATTCAACTACAGGTAAGTTTAATTATTCATTAAACAGATGTCCAGCAGACAGTTGATTATAAAAGGGTGTTACTCAACTAAGAAAACCCCTTCCCATTTCATGCTGTCACCAATGGCACCACATGGAAGAGAAATGTCACAAGGCCTGAGAAAGAAAATCATTTCTTTACACAAGAAAGGTGAAGGCTACAAGAAGATTAGCAAAGCTTTACTTATCAATATTGTAGCAAAAGTTATACACAAAAATTTAACAAAGATGGAACTGCAACCATCTCACAGAGACACCCAGGCCATCCACGGAAGTCAACACCACAACAGGAGCGTCTTCTGATGAGAAGGGTTGAAGAAAATCACCATTGTATCATGAATTCACAGATGTACTGCTCTATATTGAAAGAGAAGATGCTACCATCAGGGGCGGACTGACAACTCATGGGGCCCCCATGCAGTAGGGGATCATGGGGCCCCTGTGTCCTTGCCCAAACTCAAAAAAGCCTATGAAAAAGGTACCAGGGGCATCTCATGGGGCCCCCTACTGACCCCGGGCCCTCGGGCAGTGCCGAGTTTCCAAATTGGCAGTCCGCCCCTGTCTATCATCACTCTGTACCCTTGGTCGTCGTGCACTTTTCCAACATTACAATGTTCCAAAACACACATCTAAGGCCACTGTTGCATTTCTGAAGAAGAAAAGGGTGATAGTGATTCAGAGGCCAAGTATGTCTCCAGATCTGAACCCAATCGAACAACTATGGGGAATTCTGAAGAGACAAGTTGAGCATCGATCTCCATCCAGCATCCAGGCTCTAAAAGAGGTCATTCTTGAAGAATGGTAAAAGATCGATGTTGCAATACGTCACCAACTTGTCCATTCCATGCCTAGAAGACTTGGTGATGTCCTTACAAATCATGGAGGTCATACTAAATACTAGATGGGGTAGTTTTTGTTGTGGAGTGTATTCATTTTTGCATCAACTAATTTTGGTAAAACTGAATATTTTGTAATCTAAATTATATTATTACCTTACTTTCATGTAATGAGCTAAACAAATGTTCTATAAAACTCAGTTTTGTCATAATTTTGGAAATTGTTCCTGTGTTCATTGTGATATTGATTAAAATGTTTCTTTTCAAGAGGGGTGTACTCATTTATGCTGAGCACTGTATATATGATACACAGTATATAATAGATAGTATATATAGATAGATTCATTATTTATTTCAGGTACTTATATAGCGCCGTCAATTTACGCAGCACTTTACATATTTATTGTACATTCCTATCAGTCCCTAACCCTCAAAGGGTGTACAATCTAAGCGCCCTAACTCACATTCATACATAGACCTACTAGGGACAATTTAGACAGGAGCCACTTCACCTACCAGCATGTCTTTGGAGTGTGGGAGGAAACCGGAGTACCCAGAGGAAACCCACGCAGGCACAGGGAGAACATGAAAACTCCAGGCAGGTGGTGCCGTGGTTGGGATTCGAACCAACGACCCAATTACTGCCAGGTGGAAGTGCTAACCATGTAGCCACTGTGCTGCCCTATTATTGTGATCTATATTCCTATATACATTATACTGTATATTCTTCTCACAGTCTTCTCTGTATGTCTTATAACAGATTTTCCTCTCCCATACCAAGCGGAATTCTTTATTAAAAACATGAATGTGGAGGAGATGCTGGCCAGCGAGGTTCTGGGGGATTTCCTCGGAGCGGTGAAAAATGTTTGGCAGCCCGACCGCCTGAACGCAATAAACATCACCTCTGCGCTGGACAGGGGGGGCCGAGTGCCTCTACCCATCAATGACATGAAGGAGGGGTAAGCTGATTTTTACTGAACTTCTTACATTCTGATACTCAGTATGTCCCTAAAGCTGCTGTAAACATAAGGTGGACCTGTCGCTAACTTTACAAGTGATAAAAGTCCTTATGTTACAATAATCCGTGTCACTATTCTAAAACGCTCCACCATTTCTAAAAAAAAAAAAAGCTGTCCTTGAGCTTCAATGCAGAGACTTTGCCAGGCTAAGATGATGCCATCAGTCTGCTGCAGGCAGGAAGAAACATTTCCTTAGTCTCCTCTCAATCAGTAATCAGACTGCAACATTGTAACTTTGTATTAAAAGGCTGCTGCAGGGGCTGATCTGTGTCAGGGATTTGTGAACACAGCCAAGAACTGCACAGGCACTGGAATTTATATGACTGTATCATTTCTAAACTGAAAATCTTAGTCCAAGAAATAGATGGTGACCCTGGATGATGCCTGAAGAAAGATGGCTCTGTTCTTCTGGGGAGAAAAGCAGGGGGAGTACTGTGATCTCTGTGAGAGTTAAAAAATAGCTGGAAGAGTTACACTTACACATCACTTAACATGCATGGACTTAGAGAAAATATATCTGATGCTAGGTGTGATGCTACTTAACCTCCCTGGCGGTATTCCCGAGTGTAGCTCGGGGTAAAATTTCAGTACCAAAAGCGGTAACCCCGAGCTACACTCGGGCTTAGCATGAGGCGTTGCTCAGGGAGTCCCTGCAGCACTTACCTTGTCCTTCGCTCCTGCAATGTGTCCCCTGCAGCGTCCCCGGCCATCTCCTCCGGCGGGAAATTTGAAAATTTTAAAAAATGTCATTTTTTTTTCTAAATGAATTTTACATAGTAAAACATTGCTGTTTCAAAGCATTTCACATACATTTTGTCCCGAGTGCTTTGTCCTGTGCCCTGCCTGCATTTTTACTATTCTTTCTGCCTGGAAACTGAGAAACGTCCATGGCGTCCAAAAAGCATCCCTTTAGGTCAAAAGTGGTTTTAGACTGGCTAGAGAACAGCGATAGTAAATCAGAACCACTTGCAGAATTGAGTGATAATGATTCGTGGGGGAAATTCATCATCAGACACTGAAAACGATTCTGCGACTTTGCTCAGCGATGTGCGAACTTGGCGCTCTATTTCAAATTTCAGTGTTTTTGGTTTGATTATATTATTGAATTACATTTATTATTATTATATTATTATTTTTTATGATTATTTATTAAATTATAATTTATGATTTCGTGTTTCAAATTTTATCCTACCCGGGATGTTTACTAGACTCTTGTTCGGACAGATTTCAGTGAGTTATTCCTAAAAATTACAGCCTACAATAAAAAAATACATATTTCCTTGCAAAAAAATGGTACCGCTTTCAGCACAAAAAAATCTGAAATAATCATACCGCCAGGGAGGTTAAAGTATGCAGTCATCTACAAAAATGATACAGATAGTTTTTATTCCATTGTGGTCTATCAGTAGCCAATTCAAAATGAAGTTTTTATAGGTTTTAAGTCACATCGCCAGAACAAGCATGCTGTAAGTGAGCGTCAGACAAAAATTATTAAAGCTAAGCAGCCAAATACATATATAAAATATAGATATGGGGGCTGTTTTACCAGCCAAAGGATCTGTATTTTTGTCCATTTAGTCTGGAGATTTACACAGCTCTGCCACTCAGCAAAAATCCTGTCTGTCAGGAGAGGAGACCTGATTTTTTTCTTTCTGCTGCAGTTTTACTTGCAAGTCAGTGAAAAGAGAAGGAGCACACTGCTCACTCTGCTCTTTCCACCCATCAGCATGCTCCTTGCACTTCAGCACACATGATTGGCTGCTTATGTTGCTTTTCCCTCCCCTTTCTCTGAGCCCTGCTGTACATAATGTATTAAAAGATGCTGATATCAAGGGTGATTCATGAAATTACACTACCTGCACTGAAATTATATTTAATGAGATATCTATGAATGCACAGGTGCATGCAGTTTTGTCTTTTAGGTCAGACTGGGGTTCTCTGTACTGTTTCCCAGGCCAGAGAGTCAGAAAGCATCATTATGACAGCCAGGGAACTAGCCCCATGAGTAGCCCCTTGAGTAGCCCCCTGACTATCCCCATGACTAGCTCTCTGACTAGCCCCCAGAGTAGCCCATTGACTCTCCCCATGACTAGCCCCTTGACTAACCCCCTGACTAGTCCTCTGACTGTCTGACCCCTGACTGTCCCCCCTGACTGTCCCCCTGACTGTCCCCCTGACTAGCCCCTCTGACTAGCCCCCTGAATATCTCCGTGACTTTCCCCCTGACTAACCTTCTGACTAGCCCCCTAACTAGCCCCCTGACCAGTCCCCTGATGTTTCACCTGTCCTTCAATGAAGCAAATTGGATGCACACCACATTCCATTGGTTTCTTCCCCGGCCACACCAGGACCCAGGGGTGACATTTTACACATTAATATCGGGTCAGTAACAGGTAAGGGAGATCAGTGAACAGACATTCACCGATCTCCCTTCCCTCCACCCAGCAGCACCTGCCATGCTGATCCCGGGTCTGTTGATGGGTGCACAATTTTGAGAAAAAAAAAAAAGCAATTTTTTTTACTTTTTGCTATAAAACATACCCAATGAAAAAACAAATAGTCATAAATTTAGGCCAAAATGTATTCTGCTCCATGTCTTTGCTAACAAAAAATCCCAATACGTGTAAATTAATTGGTTTACGTGAAAGTTATAGCGTTTACAAATGGCGGTATACATACTGGAATTTTTATATATATTTTTTTTTATGCTAGTATTGGTTGCGATCAGAAACAGCACTGACACTATACTAATGGCACTGGGCAGGAAGGGGTTAAACATCTGGGCGATCAAAGGGTTTTAAATGCGTGCTAGGCAGTGAATTTTACCCCTGTGTGTGCTGTTTTACTAAGCAGACCTTCTGCCTTCTGTCCGTCTGCTGTGCAGAGATACAAAGCGGCATGTCCATGCTGACAGGAGACATCTGTGCTGTTTACACACAAATCTCTCCCCTCTCAGCTTCGCCAACAATCACCGAGTCCCAGATGGGAATCGCCAGCTGGGACTCGGTGATTGACATCCTCAGGAGCCAATAGCAGTGCGGATAGGGCGGCGTACCCCCTACCCGGAAATGCGAAATCACATATGTTTATGTGATTTTGCACAGCGCAGCTGCACTGTAGCAGTACATCTGCTATGGGGTGGTGGGCAAAGATCACCTAGAGAGGATTTTTTTTTTTTGAACTCTTTAAGGTTCCATGCTTTCTGGCTTAAAAAACACCAGTGCCCTTGGCAGAAAAAAAAGCTAATTTTGAGCGTTTATTTTGTACTGCATTTGGGAGTGTTTAGTGTTTTTTTTGTACTAGCACTTGTGAGCATTTGGGAGTGTTTGGTGTTTTTTCTGCCAGAAAAACGCTCTCAAAAACACAAAACAGAAGGGTTTTTTTTTCTCTATCTCTAAATGCTGAGTTTGAAAACTGCCTCCAGAATAGATCATCTAATGTGCATGGACACATAGGATAACATTGGTTGCTTCTACAGGCAAAACGCTAAATTCCTCTAAGAGCAGCGTTTTTTTAAGCCTCTGTGCAGGGAGCCTCAAGCACTGAGACCTGGTTCACTGTGTTGCGGATTGTGCGGTCCACGTTTGCTTGTGTACAGCAGCCCATGCATTTGAAAAACCCTCCAACAGCAGCCCATGCATTTGAAAAACCCTCCAACAGCAGCCCATGCATTTGAAAAACCCTCCAACAGCAGCCCATTCATTTGAAAAACCCTACAACAGCAGCCATTCATTTGAAAAACCCTACAACAGCAGCCATTCATTTAAAAAAAAACCTCCAACAGCAGCCATTCATTTAAAAAAACCCTACAGCAGCAGCCCATTCATTTAAAAAACCCTACAGAAGCAGCCCATTCATTTGAAAAACCCTACAGCAGCAGCCCATTCATTTGAAAAACCCTACAACAGCAGCCCATTCATTTAAAAAAAAACCTCCAACAGCAGCCATTCATTTAAAAAAAAACCCTACAACAGCAGCCCATTCATTTAAAAAACCCTACAGAAGCAGCCCATTCATTTAAAAACCCTACAGCAGCAGCCCATTCATTTAAAAAAACCCTACAGAAGCAGCCCATTCATTTAAAAAACCCAACAGCAGCAGCCCATTCATTTGAAAAACCCTACAACAGCAGCCCATTCATTTAAAAAAAAAACCTCCAACAGCAGCCCATTCATTTAAAAAAAACCCTACAACAGCAGCCCATTCATTTAAAAAACCCTACAGAAGCAGCCCATTCATTAAAAACCTACAGCAGCAGCCCATTCATTTAAAAAAAAACCCTACAACAGCAGCCCATTCATTTAAAAAACCCTACAGCAGCAACCCATTCATTAAAAAAAACACCCTACACAGCAGCCCATTCATTTAAAAAAAACCTACAGCAGCAGCCCATTCATTAAAAAAAAACCCTACAGCAGCAGCCCATTCATTGAAAAAAAAAACCCACAACAGCAGCCCATTCATTTAAAAAACCCTACAGCAGCAGCTCATTCATTTGAAAAGCCCTACAACAGCAGCCCATTCATTAAAAACCCTACAACAGCAGCCCATTCATTAAAAAACCCTACAGCAGCAGCCCATTCATTAAAAAAAAAAAACCCTACAACAGCAGCCCATTCATTTAAAAACCCTACAACAGCAGCCCATTCATTTAAAAAAAAACCCTACAACAGCAGCCCATTCATTTAAAAAAAAAAACCCCATCAGCAGTCCATTCATTTAAAAAACCCTCCATCAGCAGCCCATTCATTTGAAAAACCTACAGCAGCAGCCCATTCATTTAAAAAAACCTGCAACAGCAGCCCATTCATTTAAAAAAACCCTCCAACAGCAGCCCATTCATTTAAAAAGCCCTACAACAGCAGCTCATTCATTTAAAAAAAACCCTACAGCAGCAGCCCATTCATAAAACCCTACAGCAGCAGCCCATTCATTTAAAAAAACCCTACAGCAGCAGCCCATTCATAAGAAAAAACCCTACAACAGCAGCCCATTCATATAAAAGCCCTACAACAGCAGCCCATTCATATAAAACCCCTACAACAGCAGCCCATTCATATAAAACCCCTACAACAGCAGCCCATTCATATAAAAAACCCTACAGATGCAGCCCATTCATTAAAAAAAAAACCCTACAAAAGCCCTAAAACAGCAGCCCATTCATATAAAACCCCTACAACAGCAGCCCATTCATATAAAACATTTGAAAAAACCCTACAACAGCAGCCCATTCATAAAAAAACCCTACAACAGCAGCCCATTCATATAAAACCCCTACAACAGCAGCCCATTCATTTGAAAAAAAAAAAGCAGCCCATTCAAAAAAACCCTCCAACAGCAGCCCGTTCATTTGAAAAAGCTGCCCTGCCCGTGTTTCCGCATATAAAAAAAAGGTGCATGTGCCTTTTTGAAAATCTGGCCGCAGGGAAACCACATGGTCTTTTTGCGCATTCTTTTTCTCTGCGGTTCCTGCACCCGCAATCGCACTACAGACTGAGATGCACGGGGGTACCATTCCAGGGAAATAAAGGTCAACCCTGCGTCTCCAAAGAGCAGTCCAATGCGATTCCGGCACCCGCAGCCAGAACCCACAGTGTGAACTGAGCCTAATATCGTCAGAATATTTCGGCGACCATTTCTGCTCTCTTCCTACAAACAAAACGTGACATTGTTTTTCTCAGCACAAGGGCAGACTCGTGTATATTTTCTGTATATTTTCTTGCTCCCCACTTTCCTGTGCCCCCCCCCCCTCGCCTCTACAGGCTATAAAAAGAAGGGGTGACTCCATTTTTTTCTTCTAACTTGTAATGGCGGCAGTCATGCATCAATAACGCCTAAATAATTGCACAGAAGCCTGAGATGCTGTTATTAGGGGGAAGGCAAATGGCACGACTTCTTGACAGCTCTGGCTGCTTGCTGGAGATCAACAACATGCTGTTCTCTTTTTTTTTCTTTTCTGTGTTTTTAGGGAATAAATCTAATTTTTTTCATTTTCTTCTCTTTATTATGGTGAGAGATGAGCCGATCTGCCAAAATGTGCTCTAACCCCAATTTTTGGAATCCAAGGAAAATTGGAAAACTAATATTTTGAATTGAATGAAAGGCAACAGGGACCATTTCGATGGCCAGGCGTGGCCCCTAGGAGGGCTGCTAATAATATTGTCAAACAGATGGCATAGGGAATGGAAATAAATGTGTATAGTGGGGGTGGAGGGGGGTGTCAAATCTGCCAGATTGCGAGGTATTATGCAACAATCTTCAACAACAATCCAAGGACCAGCAGCCTGAGGGCGCTAAAGGGGTGATGCCCCCCAACTGCTACTCCCTTTAGCTGCAGAAACAGCAGCCCGGGGAGGGGGGGTTACAAACTGTATGCTGTGGCCAGGGGCGGACTGACCATTTGGAAACTCGGGCACTGCCCGAGGGCCCGGGATCAGTAGGGGGCCCCATGACATGCCCCTGGTACCTTTTTCATAGGCTTTTTTGAGCTTGGGCAAGGACACAGGGGCCCCATGATCCCCTATTGCCCGGGGGCCCCATGAGTTGTCAGTCCACCCCTGGCTGTGGCAGTGATGCTTTGCTTTGTGATAGGAAATATAACCCAGTTGCTTACAGCAGGCGGCGAATGCGACCCATTGAATTGAATGGGGCTGCTCTGCAAACGCCCCGCAGGTGCATGCAGTGCACATGGTTACTATACGCTGGTGCAGTGATCAAGGGGTTAAAGCAGGTGATGAGGAGGCGATACAACCAGGGGCGGACTGACCATTTGGAAACTCGGGCACTGCCCGAGGGTCCGGGGTCAGTAGGGGGCCCCATGAGATGCCTCTGGTACCTTTTTCATAGGCTTTTTTGAGTTTGGGCGAGGACACAGGGGCCCCATGATCCCCTATTGCCCGGGGGCCCCATAAGTTGTCAGTCCGGCCCCTGGATACAACCATACAAAAATCACACCATAGAAATGCAGTTGAATACGTTCCGTATTCATTTCTATATGCATGTCTTTGATGTGCTCCGATGCGTTTTTGATGTGTTTAGATGTGTTCCAGTGCATTTTTTGGTGCATTTTTGATGCATTGGACTGGACTCCATGTGGTATGAACTGTCCCATAAACTAAAAAAAGTACCCAGACCTTTATATTTTTTCTTTTAAAGCATCTCTAAATGTTGTTTG